TGGAAGCTGAAGATGGAAACATGGATATGAAAACTCTAAAAGAAGTCAAAAGGCTATAAAAAATAACTAATATATGAAACCAACCCCTCCATCGAGTCCTCTTCATTGTTCCTTTATCGTTCCTTCCAAAGTGTCCTCTTCATTGCCCCTATCACCCCTCCACTTCTTTATTTCTCTTCAACACACATACTCAACAACTCCCATATCTTAGCACCTAACTTACAAATCTGTAATTTCTTTTGCAGTATCTTATTTGGGTTATGATTTTATTCATATTTTGTACTTTTTATGTCAATGCTTTAAAGTAGGCTATCATAGCTATATATATTGGATGCAATATAATAATGATATTATTTTATTTTCAGTGACGATTTCAATTGAATTAACAAACATTGAGTTCGAACCGGAAATGCCAAAAGCGGATAACATTATGATTATGCATCGTAACATTTTTAATATCTTGAGACGTTTGGTGGTGAATGTTATATTTATTGACAAGTTTTTATATTAAAGTCATAGGGTGTAGTCGATTGAGTTATTAATGTGAGACTTTTTGTAGTGGATGTTTCATATATGTATTAGTATTTAAGTATGTTGTGCTTGACTTGATTCGGTGAGACTTTTTTTGGGTGGACGTTTTATATATGTATTCAGTTTTTAAGTATGTTGTACTCGACTTGATTTATTAATTAATGTCATCTTTGTGATTTTTTTTTGTTTTTTTTAAAATAAAAGAATAACATAAGGTCCTAAGTAATTTATTTGTAGTATCCAAACCAAAACTAATGAATGAACAATATAATAAACCAAAACCATATATGATCACTCTACCGGTTTGGGTGATGAAAAGTTAATCGATTAATTTTAAGTCCAAAAGTCTAAATAACGTCAACATTAACAACTAGATATTAATCCAAAAAGTACATGTTTGCGCCTACATTTATAATGATAAAAAAATTAAAACCATCAACTTTTGTTATAAAATAGATATATATATATATATATATATATATATATATATATATATATATATATATATATGATAACCAATGATGATAAATAGATTAAAGTCTAAGATGAAGTTTTATTTTAGTTTAGTTCTTTGTAAGCATAAAAGTCACTGAACTATCTGATTAGAACAATTTAGTATGATTAATAGGTTCAATGAGGACACAAGATGAAACATGAAAGGAAGCGGTACAATGTGGTATGATTCTTTAATCTATATATACATTAACTTTTTTATTGTTATGTAGGTTATGTTTCTTAAAACTTAGGACATTTCATAAGCGCATGATTCTAAAAACTAATTTTTGCATATTTCGTCAAATCATATACGTAGCAGAATATTGAAAAAACTACAATAAACAATATTATCCAAGGAAAAAGGAAGACAAATGGAGAAGAATAGCTAATGGTGAAGGAAGTAGCCGATCTACCACAATTATGCCGAATGTTGTTGCAAATCAAATGAATATCAACGAAGGAACTGCTAATGATGTTGTAAGAGTTAACTAGATGAGGAAAATTCATAATAAAAATTATTATGAACGACGGAAGGAACAAAACAGAGGAAAAATTATACGAGATGACATGCTCCAAGAGGATCGATATACTTTTGTTTAGATGGTATCCTTATGGAACATAATGTATTAGAAGTCGAAAATGCATGTGTTCATTATGGAGCAAAACGATTTCAATTTTAATTCTCCAGCTTTTGTTGTATGACCGCAAAAGAAAAAGTTGGCATTCTCCGATATTCATGAAGAATTACAAAATCTATTCACATCGATGAGATTAATGATTATTTGATCGGCCGATTCCACGGAGAAGATATAATTTACTATAGTTTTGATGAAGTCGTAAACGATATAAATAACTTCTATCCTGTGGAATTCTTGAACATGCTCGGTGTTAGTGCTTTACCCCCTCATTGCCTACGACTGAAAGTTGGATGACCGATAAAACTGCTACGAAATCTTGACCCATCAAATGGATTGTGTAACGACACACGATTGATTTGTAAAAGTTTTCAACACAATGTCATTGATGAACTATTGGTCAACATGATGGAAAGAGGGTATTTTTGCCAAGGATTCCTCTATGTCCATCTAAAGAGGACATGTTTTTTTTCAAGCCGAAGATAAAACAATTTCCAATTTGATTATGTTTCGCGATGACAATCATTAATGTTCAGGAGCAAACAATTCCAAATGTAGGAATTTATCTTCCAGAATCGGTTTTCTCGCATGGCCAACTTTATGTGACATTATCCAGAAGGATATCACATGCCAATACAAAAGTATTAGTGATCCATGACGAACAATTCAACGGTAGTGAAGTCTATACAGCAAATGTGGTGTATAAAGAAGTGTTGCACAATTAATAATACACAATCAGTCATGTCTTCATATACATTTGTAAAGAATCCCAAATTTTAAATTTTAATTTCTATTGATTTTGTTTATGTTATCATGACTCTTATTGATAATTGTTTAGATGTAGTTAACTATTTGGGCAAACGAACTAATCGTCTCTAGAAACTAATTTCGGAAAAAACTATTATATATATATATATATATATATATATATATATATATATATATATATATATATATATATATTTGGAAAGAGAAAAACACATTTTCCATAGAATGAAAATCAGCCTATAAGAAGGAATCACATTCCGTAAGGAATCATTGAATGTTTAATTACATTCCTTGGTAGCAACCAAACATGATTTTTTTTCCATTTTGTGCTAAAGTTCCATTTAATTTCCTCTTCGATTATTGCATACCAAACACTAGCCAGGGGCGTAGCTACGCTTATACAAGGTAGGTCCTAGGTCCTATCTTTTTTTTAATACAACAAATATATATAGAAAAAAATGTTATTTTTGCTAAAAAAAACCTACCTATTTTTACTAAAAGACCTACCTATTTCAGTTTCATACATACTTATAAAGCTAGCATTTTTTCTTGAATCTCATGCATTTGAAACCCCCTTTTTTAACTTCCTCAAACCACATTCATTTGAAACCCCATTTTTTAAGTAATGCAACTCAAAAGGTTTCTTAATTATGATTTAACACTCAAAAGTTTTATAACCTATATTATGTTTAATTAGGATTTAGTGAAAAGTTTACTATAAAAAGGTCAATCTTTTGTGTCTTTTGTGTTATATAAAATTTTACATGTAAGAAGGATTTGAAGATATTGTGATTCAAAAGTTGTCATATAGTTGAAGCATTTACGATCCAAATATGATGATCTGAAGAAATGGGTTATGGCGCATCGATGGTAACTGTAATATGATTTTTTCTTTCAACCAAAACAAATGAAGCTTTTCTATTATTTCTTTATATTGAGTTTCTCATTTAATCTTTATATGTGATTTGTGGGTATTACTCAATCTTGAATGTAACTCTCCAAACATCAATGTCTTGCTTGGAATATCTTTCTGATTCTTCTTTTTCAAGAAAAATATTTTGATTGCAGGTCAGTGAAGAATTGTCATCAAGTTTCTATGGTTGAATGGTGTTAAATGAAGAAAGAAGATTCATAAAATGGATATAGGTTTTTTTGTTTGAGCAAAGTTGACGAATGTTAGTTTTTTCTTTTGATTTAAATGTATGTTTATGTAACATCTTTATTTATATATTCAACCACCAAATGATCTTATTTATTTGATTATAGTTTTTCTATTTTGATTATGTTTATTTTCTATTATTTTTTTGTTGGATTATCCTACACAACATATTTAAAAGACTATTTAAAAGATAACATAATTTTGAACATTTGATATGTAATTATGATAGACTTATCGTGATATGTTCTTCATATGAAAGTAATTTATCCATATTACTACGACAAGAATTACATATGATATTTACGAAAATATATATATTATATGTGATTTTTTTAACATGTATATGCACCTATGTATGTTATAAATTTATAATTAAATATCTTTATGTTTAATAATTGAAGGGATTAAAATGTTGCATCAAAATCAATTATTTAGACGAATATAATAATAATAATAATAATAATAATAATAATAATATAAATATACATTTCCAAGTACCGCATTCCTTTGAAACTCACACTACAACTCAAGAGATTTCTAATTTATGTATATTTATTAGTTACAACTCAAGAGTTTTTAACTTATGATTATTAATTAGTAATCACTAATAACTTTTTATTTTCCTTTCTTTTATAAGGTTGTAAAGTTTTGCTCATTAAAAACATTAATGTATTTGAAGAGATTTGTGATTTAAATATGAAGAGTTAATATAAATGTTATAATAAATGTTTTAGTGTTTTTATGTTATTAAAAGTTATAGTGTTTATTTTTCATATTTTTTATTATTCATGTATATATATCTTTTTTAATACAAATGTTATAATAGATGTTTTTCTATTTTTATGTTACTAAAAGTTGCAGTTCATATTTTTGTTCACACGTTTTGTTACCCGGTATATTATCATTCATTTGATATATAATTACACAATTTTAAACGGTTTATAAAATTATCAAATAATTGTATATATCAGAATGACTTAAAAATTAAACTATAATGTTTAATAAAACTAATATGTTAACTATATGTTTGCTTTACTACTAACATTTTGTTTCAAAGTAGAAGTATTAAATAATAATTTGGTAAAAGTTATTATTTTAACTATATAATTCTATTCTCGCGCAACGCGCGGGGATTCGCCTAGTTATTATATAAGAAACCGCATGGTTTTTGGTTCTAGATTCGCCACTGACACCGGCAGAAAAAGAAAGAAAGACAAGTTATATCATACTAGTCAGCAAGCAAGTGACTCCATTATTTAAATGCTATTGCAGATCTAAAATGTACATAGATTTACGTTTATAGAATACCATATACAGAAATTGCTATACAAGCAAGGAAAATAACAAAGTTTTGAAGTTTTTTTTTTTATACCAAGAATCAACAATGAACCTAGCTATGATCATATCTGCAACTAGATCCTAACCTCATAAAATATACTGTCATCGTCTGTTTCTTGTAAATCATCTATGTCATCTTGAGCCGATCGATCACCGTGTGAAGCATGTCTAGCACTTTCCACATTAACAACTATGCTCGATGATCGTTTCATTTGACGTTTCAAATCCTTCATAAATGTTGATATAAGTTCCAAAAAACTTTTGTTTTCTTCATCAGATTTTTTAACTTCTTTAATTCTGATGATGATGTAAATCACAAGAGCAACCGTGGACACCCCAACAGTTAAGACAAATAGTACCCAAAAACTGCGAGCACTAAGACTGTCTTCTTCATTAGGTGCAGAGTCTTCATCAATACACTTCTCGGATATAATATGGACTTCCTCAAGTTCTTTAAGTCTCCCACTCTCTGCTACGTTCATTAATGCCTCGTTTGCTTCCGAAAGTCGATCATACTCCTTGGGAAATGCCTACAAATATATTAATAATATTATGTAAGCACTCTTTTAGAGAAAATCAAACACTCCACATATCTAACATGATATCAGAGCTACGACATATGACCCGAACACATTCTCAAGGGCTCTTTTGAAAAGAAAATCAAAGACTCTACATATCTAACAAAAGATATTATAAATTTGAAAGAGGGGAACTTACGAATCCGAAACCTCCAACTTTGAATGTCTCTCCGGTTCTAATAAAGCTCCTACAGTACTGAGCTAGGAAGACTTTGGTTGCTGGAACTTCAAGAAAGATGGCCGCAATTTCGCCGCTATTTAGTGCCTCCGCATATTGATGGGTTGAGTTATAGCTGTTGGTTTTGACGTTTGGAAAACCTAGAACCTCCGTCAGATATCTATCTACAAAGGACCCATTGCAGTATCCCACGGTGCATTCATGTTTCTCAGCATCTCAACACTGGATATTGTTGGTTCCAGCCGTTCAGCCGTGAGCATGCTGGCTAAGCTAGCCGTGTAGCTCTGTGTGATGATCAGCGCCACGAAAAGCCAAACCACAGCCGCCATTCTTGATAAATTGCTATGTAGCTTGTCACCTAAAGTAATGACTATGTGTCAGATAACAGATAACAGATAACAAATAACAGATAACAGATATCAAATAACAAATAAGTGGATGTTGGAGTGTTACCGCGCAAAGTGAAGAGAGTGCTGAATGAAAGCCAAAGGATGACTCCGACTTGGTTTATAACAGAGCCGCGGAGATCTTTAACATGGTTCTTCTCTATCAACCAAATGATGAAGCCATTGTAAAGGGGTGATTCCTGCTATTAGCCACCACATTGTTGGTGTGAAAGGCTTTAGGAATAACCATGCCTGGTTTGATAATCTTGATCTAACTGGTACAATCATCTCCAAACCGGATTCGGTGTAGGGTTGTGTGAAGTCAACAAACTCGTGTCTATCTGACAGAATCGTTACATCACCGGCTATTGCATCATAATTCTGTATAAATTCAAGAAAAAAAAAATCAATAACATGTTGGTTTTTTTTTTTTTTTTTTCTGGCATAATTATTTGTTTTTGTGTGTGTTCTTGCTAACCTTGTTAGGTATTTGTTGGATCAATTGATCATAAGAGCCATAGAATGGAATATAATCAAATGGCTGATTCATCTTTCTCATCACTTCCTCAAACACAGAGACTACGAATCCAGTGATATCACCCGTATTAACATCCACTTTCACGAATTGGTTAAATAGAGATCGACCAGGAACACCAACCCTGATCCGATTCTCTGAACTTTCTGCAAGATTCCGGCGACGACTGTTAGCATACCATGGTTGACCCGGCCATAGAGCTTGTCCAACATTATCGATAGAATGAGTGTAAGTAGTTGCGCCATTGATATCCTCTTCAATCGTCTCTGAAAACCCTGATCCTTCGGTCCAGTACACAGAGTGATAACCCTTTCCTATGACGTTAACAATCTCTACTGTAGTCGCCGGAATTGACCTCCAGTGACCGATTTTCTCAGGTGAGTTTTTTTCAAGTAATTCCACGGCGTTATATCCTTGCACGGCAAAGATTCCAGGTTCGTCCTTTTCTTCTTCTGGGTAATCGGAACGGAACTTGTGACGGAACTTTTTTCTGAAATCTTGAAACTCCGGCGTGTTTTCAGCGAAGTAGCTTTTGACTCCGACCATACCTTTTAGTGAAGTAATCATGGTGGAGTTAATGGAATGAAAAAGATCCGTGATTCCATTAGTCGCGATCCATAGATACCCATCTCCTGTCATCTCCATCTTCTTGGCTGTCTGAAAGAGACGAATCCCAAGTTCCATAGACGTATGAATCACAAAGACTTTACGTTGTTGTCTCTTGAGCACGTCAAGCTCTTCATCTAAGAAAGATGAACCAGATGCGAGTGGTAAGATATGAATTAGCTCGGAACCTGTTTGACGAAATGCCTGAGAGAGATGAGAGATGATCGATGCCGATGAGGAGGCTAGAGGCAAGGTTTCGTATATGAGAGTCACTTTTCGCATCCCCAATGACTGTAGAACAGCAGCAACCGCTTTCATCTGAGTGGATTCTGTAGGAACGGCTTGAACAAAAAATGGCCATTGATGTGGGACCTGTGGTGGAGCTGTTCCAGCGAGGGAGAGAAACACCGGGAAATCGTGATTACAGTCGCTGATAACCTCGGCTATGGCAGAAGCTTCTTCCCATGTATGACCTCCCAAAATCGCTTTCACTTTGTGTTCATCAATAAGCTGTTTCGCTGCATTCCCACATCATATCCTGGCATGTTAGCATATGGGTACGATTTTAAACAACCAAATCCAACTTCTTTAATATGAAATTGCCAACTTTTTAAGAAGAAAAAGTGTAGTTTTGAATAGAATATTTCACCTGCAATGGCTGCTTGACCAGGCTTGTTTCGTGAGTTTTGAAGATATAAAACCGAAGTCTGATTGGTTTTGATGTTGAAATCTTGAATCGCTATCTCAATTGCCACTTTCGCTTCTTTTCCAGGCCTTGACGTTTGGTCAAAAATGGCACCAATCGAGGTTCCATCGATTATCTTAGCTTGTAGAAGAAAACATGACGACAAGAAAGCAAGACAAAAAAGGGTTTTAAGCATCTTAGTGTGATTCTTCTTTATTCTTTTTATTTGGATTCTTATTTATTTTATTCTGTGATGATGGCCATATGATTTATAATGAACTTTTTGTCACCAAAAGTCCATCAAATATCACACGGTTTTGTGGAAAACGAAGGTGCAAGAAATTCCTTGAAGCTTGCATTGCATTAAATGTTATAGGAGACACTCGTGACTTGTGGCACAATCATACTCGTAAGCATGATTTCACCTTTATATATTTTTAATGAGTTCATGACGAATGTATTATATATTCTATTGGATATGAGGAATAAAGTAGGGTCTTCTAGATATATAGCCATGGTCAACGAAGACATTTCCAGCAAGTTGACATTTTTATGTCCACTTGTGTATTTTCAGTGAGGACATTTTCAAACATGATCAAGAATACCTTTGTCTTATCTATGAAGTAACTAGTTCTAAGCATGTGCATGTTTGACAATTTAGCAAGCGTAAACCGTAGAGGCTTGTTCAGACCACCCAATCCGTTTGACAATGCAGGCAAATATGGCAGTTTACACGTATTTGACAAAACTAATTGGGAGATTCGTTTTTAAAAATTATAAAACTACATACAAGTTAAAAGCTCAAAAAAAAAAAAAAAAAAAAAACTAAGATTTTGGATTAAGAGTTTTTTGTTAAAATAAATACTAAAAATTCGTAACATTCTAAAATCGGATCACAACTCAATTCACACCATCTTAGCAGCTGCCCTTTTCTTTTCCTTGCATTGATCCAAAGAAGCGATAACGATTGTGCCTCGTAAACCAGCGTCGCATGTGGTTTTGTATTTGAATTTGAAGCGTGGGCTTTAGAATTCCGTTATCTCAAAATCACCCAAAGTAATACCAACATTATACCCTCATGAATATTTGCCAGCCTATGATGACCCCTGAGCCTTGCTTTACATTCTAACAAGTCACGTATCGAATTTAGTAAATGGCTCAGCCCTTATATATAAATAGTGCCCTTATATATATATATATATATATATATATATATAATATATAGATATATATATATATATATATATATATATATATATATATATATATATATATAGAGAGAGAGAGAGAGCTAGGTTCAAATGTTTCCTATAACTATTGTATGTATGTATGGACCAATGAGAATTTAGCAATAATTTAGTTATTAAATGTAAGAATAAGGCTAGCTTGGTCATTTTACTTTTATAAACCAAAAATAAATCTTGTATGTTTGGAAAATCATTAAATGAAATATGTACTATTTTTATAAACCCTAACAATGGTCGCTGCTGTGAGCGATGAGGGTACGACAATGGAGGATGTTGTTTCCGAGATTGAATCGGCCGCCGCCACCAGAAATCCTCACGCGCGACTGTGCTCCCACCCCAACCCCTTCACTGGTGTGCGTCTGTTCATCGAGGGGGTTTGTTCTACGCCACTAATGCATACAGAAGAAGGAGTACCAACGACCATAATCATCGTTGCCGACTCAGGTAAACATTTCTCTAGTTCACTACACTAAAAAAACTAATATTATGAAAATATCTTGAAACCAATGAAAGTATTTGATGATTGCGTAGGTGGTCGAAAGTCTCTTTTTTCATTATTATAAACAATTGATTAATTTAGGTTTACTCAATTTCGTAATTTGATGTTGGATATAAATATTAAGTTCTTGATATTTGTGGGTTTTTCTACAGTTTTATTGATGAAATTCGATTATGTTCAACTGGTATAATCATTTCCATGCTTTTGCTTCTTGTACAGGTAATTACTTCCTATTTGAAATCTGATTTGAATGCTAAACACACGGTAATTACTTCCTATTTTTTAATTGCCACTATTCTGTACAAGTAAACATTTTCTTATATATCTTTTAGTTGCAAAAACATCATGCAGATTTCCTCTATACTTCTAATCACAGGTAATCATATTTTTATATCACATTTAGCAAAATTTTGATATGTAATTTGGTAATGGTGTACAAGGTGTCTTTATTTTTAAATCCTTTTGATGTGGGGTGGATTTAGTTCATTTCATTAGTGATATTGTATAAAGCATGATGATTTGGGTGTGCCCTAAAGGCGTTTGACGAAATGCCTAGTAGAAAAGATGTGGGTGGAAACTCCACATTGATGAGTAATTGATAACACATGTGGGATCAGCCTTGAATATGTGCAACATGTATAGTGGAATGGTATGAAATTATACTTCTCAATATTCTAAGTTCACCAAATCTTCTTTATTACCACCGACCTTTATCATTGAAATTTTGAATTAAAAGTTTTAAATAGAAATTATAAATTTGTGGTATTGATAACACACGTGGGATCGACCTTTATTACAACCGACCTTCATTTACAAACAATTTGGTTCTCAATTTTGATAATTTTAAGAATGCATGTAAAGTTACAAAATACTAACCATAAATTAATGTCAAGAATTTTGAACGTCACTTATTCTAACAGAATATGATTTCATCAGCATCAATTTAACAAAATGAATTAATAATGTCTACTACATTCTATCAGAATTTATAGTTTTTGTTCTCTTAGAATACACTGAATTTTTTAATCTTTGAAACTGAATTATGTTTTCTTTGTGGATTTAGGTTTTGAAGAGGCTGTCATTGATGTGGAAAAGAAGGAAAAACGAGAGTATTCTAGCAAAATGTATTCTGCCAAAATGTATAAAATGTTTATTAACAATAATATTCTTTCAGAATTGATTAGTATTTTTGTTAGATTTTGATGTTTTTTTTTTCTTTTTTAACCATTCCTAGTTTTAGTCTCTAAAAATAAATGTAATGCTTAAACTATTATTAGTCATATTTTTTCAGAATAAATGTAATAATTATCTAGTCTTATTCTTTACGAATTAATGTAATTAGTGATTCTTAAAGAATAAAATCTATATTCCTTAGAAAATGTTATTCTTAATAATATGTTGTATAAATCTTTAAGCATGTTAATTATAAAAAAATATATTGAATAAACCATATTCTGGAAGAATAAAATCGAAAATATCTTTACTGGTTTATGTTTGACTCACTGTCATTCTAACAGAATAAAATCGGTTACTATTAGAAATTATAATAGAATTAAATTTGAATTAATTTAAAAAAATCAGATGTAAAAAAAGGAAATTAATTATCCCTTAAAATCCGAAAATTTCCTTTTTTTTAAAATAGGTTAATTGACCAAAACACCATTCTGCTGAAATTTGTGTGATTATAGGGTACATGTTACCTTATTGTAATATCGTAGACCCTCAGATCATGACCATTGATTTTATTCATCCATTGGTCCAAAATTGTGTTTACGGACACACAATAGATGGAAGAAACAAAATAATCTGACCCTATATATATATATATATATATATATATAGATATATATTATATATATATATATATATATATATATATATATAGGTAAGAGTTCATTTCAGACGATATAATTTTGTGAGACCGTAAGAATAAATTTTTTATGAAATATTCTAATATTCTATTGTTCGTAAAAATAAAATATGCAATATATTCTAACATTATGATTGCGTTTAATTACAGAAATACAATTTTCATTTTCCGTTTTTCGTTTTCCATTTTCAGTTTTCGTTTTCCGTTTTCAATTTTCATTGGAAAATTTAGAAAACGCGTTTAGTTAAAACTTATTTATTTTTCATTTTCAGTTTTAGAAAATTACAAAACGTGTTTAGATATATATTTTTCTATCGGTTTTCATTTTTTGGAAAATGGTAGCGGTGGTAGGGGTAGCGACGGTGGTGGTGGTTGTGGCGGCAATTGTGGCAGTGGTGGTGATGGCGGCGGCGATGGTGGTGGTGGTGGTGATGGTGATGGTAGGTCTGTGATTGTGGTACTAGTATTGGGTGTGTGTGTGTGTGTTTTTCGGTGTGGGTGTAGGTGTAGGTGTGTGTTTGTGGGTGTGTATGTGTGTGTGTGTGTGGGGGGGGGGGTGGTGTTTGTGGGGGTGGGGTAGGTCGGTGGGTGTTGGTGGGTGTGTGTGTGTTGTGTGTGTGTGTGTGTGTTTGTAGGTGTGGGTGTGGGTGTGTGTGTGTGGTGAGGGGGGGGGGGAGTGGGTGTGGGGGTGTGTGGGGGGGAGTGGGTGTGTGTGTATGTGTGTGTTTGTGGGGGTATGGGTGGGGGTGGGCTTGAGAGTGGGTGGGTGTGGGTAGGTAGGGGTGTGGTGGGTTGGGGGTGGGCTTGAGAGTGGGTGGGTGTGGGTAGGTAGGGGTGTGGTGGGTTGGGGTTGTTAAGGTGGACATAGGTAGAGGTGGATGGGGTGGGAGTGGGTGTATGTTTGTATTTTGGAAAAAATTTGGAATCAAAAAATGTAGAAAACAATGATTATCGGTTTTCCAAATTTTCAGCTTCTTTGTAATTTTAGAAAACGGAAAATTTCATTTTCCATGAAAAATTTAGAAAAATAGACGAACTAAACGCATTTTCAAAATTCTCATTTTTCTTGGAAAATTTTTCCGGAAAACGACCAATTTTTCCGCTACTAAACGCACCCTATATGTTTTAGAATATTTCAATGTAAAATATGTTAAAATTATTTTTTTAAAATATTAGAATATTGCACATATTTAATTTTTATAAACACTAGAATATTATAATATTTCACTAGAAAAAAGTGGTCTTACGGTCCCACAAAATTAGGTCGTCTCACATGAACCTAACCTTATATATATATATATATATATATATATATATATATATATATATATATCATGGTTGTAAAAATCGGTCTAGGCGACCGATTAATTGGCGTCTAGATGCTTGGCGGCCTCCAACCGCCTACGAATAAGGGTTAGAGGGTAAAATAATCGGCCTTGGTCAAAATCGGTCCAAATCGGTCCAACTCGGACTCCAAATTGGGCCAAATCGGTCCAGCTAACCACAGGCCAAGAAATTTAAAAAATAAGTGCGTCACTTTGATACCAAATTTAAAAAATAAGTGCGTCGCTCTAATACCAAATCTAACATGATGACGGATTAATATAAATTAGGATAGGATTATACCTGAATGATGCGACGGGATGATTGTTTATTTGGATAGTTCGGATAGATGGCTCTGCTATTCAAAAATAGATAAACTATTG